AGACCAATATAACTCCCAAAACTAGGACAATTAAATCAACTAAAAAAAGAAAAAAATTATTTACTCCAATACAACTAGAATCTGGTATAGACTCTCTAAATGCCATCTTTTTTAATCACAGGTTTCCTAGGAGATAAATGTTTTCAGTGTTTCAAAGGAAGTCTGGTGGTGTTTTTAAAAACATCATTTTCACAGGGGCTGAGATTCAATTGCTAAGGAGTAGAGGATGTTATCTGAGAGAATGCCATGAACAGCAGACTAACTCAGCCACAGTAATGCCTTTACTAGATGGATAGGCCTCTCAAACTAGAGGCACTGTTTTCAAAATGAAATATATATTGACCCTCGTTTCAGAAATGTCAAACACGCTGTAAACAAGTTCTCAGTACATCACATCGTGCTTTAGAAAGTGCATAAGAAAGACCAGAAAGGAAACTATTCTTTGAGGGTAGTCAGCTTTAAGATATCTTATTCTTAAGTTCAAGCTACAGATTATAGACAACAGAGATAGGGATGTGGTCATCAATAGCAGAACTATCGCTTTAGCTTCCCACCTTTGACACAAACAGACTGTTATTTCCATAGGCTGGCACTTCCTAAAGTGTTACCTGGACAATGTGCACAGTGTTTGTACTTCAAAGGCACCTTTACATGTATAAAGCTCATGTGTATCACCATGCTTTGCACTGATAACAGTATTTACTGAGTAAACTCACAGTGTCCTAAAGGAGGTACAATCTAATCCAAAAAACTGGCACAGTGTGGACCTATGTACATGAAGAAAGTCTTGTGACTGGATGACAACAAGACTTGTCATCAGTGTTGGACATTGGTTTTTTAATCATTAAAATGCAATTTCCATCTATTTTCCAAGGCTCCTGTACTTTGAACCAATCCCAATGACAGCACTTCACTACTAATGCTTGAATTAATGTGAGACAGGAATATTGCAATGGCTTTTCAAGGGGGCATGGCTAAGCTTGGTCAGGCCACAGTGGTGGGTTTGAAAGGTTCTATAAACCATGAGTTTTCTGACTTCATTCACTGAGACAAGGTGGCAAAATCTTCCTCTCTCAAGCAGCCAATGTACACAAGTACAATTACCACAATGTCATCAGCAGAAGCCTGTGGAACTTGGCTGAAAGCTGTTACCTGGTTTCAGGTCCACAGGCAGTGCCATGACTACCAACAGCCCACTCTGCACTGCTGCACCACTCATTTGTTTTCTGCACTGAAGATGCACAGCATCATCATGAAGGAGCACAAGATGTGATCCAGGCTTATTTCACATAAACAGTCTGTTCTGTGCTTGCCTTTTATCATTCAGATTTGTTAAATATTATGCAAAAATGATGTAACACATGCTTTCAATTTCCAATTCTACTTCCATAGGTTCTCTTTTTCAGGGAAACAATAAAGGAGAGAGATTCATTCTAGCACTCTTCCAGTCATTACAAACACAGGAGTAATAAGGCACAGTACACACGTAGCCTAGTAATTGTTAGGTGCTAGCCATTCCCTTCTGTTCCTAATCCACAAATCTGGTAATGTCACATTTCCCAGTGTGGGAGTATGAATTCTCAGCTCAAGCTGTTGAGACACCTCCTTACAGTTTTTGGTGGCTGCACTGAGGCAGTGCATTTCAGATGAGCCCTCAAATCCTCAGTATGGGCTTCTGTAGTCTAGGAGTCTGAAATCCCCTGGGCCGAAGTTTTTAAAAATGACCACCGCCACCCAAATTACAGATTTATCCTGAGCTCCATTTGGCAGGCATGGGGTCCATTCTCAGCTGATGAAGTTGGCTCTGCTGCACTACAGCCAGAGAAGCCAGGGGTGATTCACACCCCTAAAGAAGTGGCCAGAAGCCTTAACAGTCACCAGAGATTGCTTTTAAAAGCTATTTTCCACCCCGATGGAAAGTATAAGGCAGACAAAATACTAAAAGCTTTTATGTTTAGAATTTCTTTTATAAAGTACTTTTCTGAGGACTAAGATGACTGTTACTCCCAAAATGAACATCAAACTATACAGTGCAACTCTGGAGCTGTCAGTTTAACATCTGTAAAAAGAAAAATCATAGTGTAGCAATACTTCCAAAAGCACAGTTTAGTCAGTGAAAGATAATACAGTTACAAAGCAAGAAACCGTGCTTGAATTAGTGTATGAGGAATCTGGAAGAGTTAACTCAGTGCAAACAACTATAATGGAGTGGATGGTATATAAAAATGATATATAAAAAGGGCATTTGATTGCTTAATCAGCTTACTGAGTGTTTGCCAGTAAAGCACTGAAAAAAAGCTTGGAAACCTTTGTGGTACAGAAAGAATTGTGTTCAAAATGCTTGAGGAAGAGAATGTTATCGCAAATGAAGAATGGTTCCAACTAAGAACATCTTAAACACTAATTAAATTGTCTGACTTTGTGTTTGGTCTGGTTTTCCAACAATTTTATTATCATGGACTAAAGTATGACTTGGATTATCTGCCTGTGCAAATGAGGAAGAATGAAAAACAACCAAATAAAATCTTTCCTTGAAAATCTGTATTGGCTGTCAGGAGATCTGGCTTGGGCACACAGGAAGAGTGGAGCACAAATGCTTACTGGGTTTAAAGAACCAGTGAAGAAGGAACAAACACATCTTTGCCTTTAATACATCTGCCTTCTGGGACTCTCCCAACCTCTATGTTGTCCAGAGAGGCTCAGGCATAGAAAGATAAGAGTGAAAGAGAAATTATTATCTTCAGAAACTGTGAGGAGCAGTGGAACACTTTTGACTTTGAGAGGTGCTTCAAAATCAAATCTTCCAGGGTTAGGTCCGGCTGAAGAGGCTCACATAAAAATCTCTTTTCTTAGGATTGTATCCTATGTCTGCAGTAAACACACTCCCAAGAGCAAGAGCGAAGCCTGTCTGAGAGCCTGCCCCTGATCCAGCTCTGTTTAGCTCATAAAAGTTTCAGGGGTTGGGAGCCCTTTCACAGCTCCTAAGGACAGCTCTAGGCATCTGAATTTCTGTCTTCCCCCTCCTGGACCGCTGCCTTTCATGAGTGTTTTGCTTAGAGATACTGACTCTCCTTCCAGTGTCCCCCCGCTTTAGTTTTCTGAATCCTCCTTGGCCACACTGTTGTGTGCAGAGTAAATTATTTTTATTTACTAACACATCAAACAAGATCCAGTTTCATCTTTCTTGAGAAATGTATACCTCCAGTCTCTGCTAGATTACTGAGGCAAACAATTAATTCAGTCAAGAAATTCATATTGAAGGGTGCTGATTCTGTCAATAACTTCGTTTCCTACTTCTCAGAGGTTGCACTGTTTCACTCAGTGACCTCTTGTTCCACATACTTGAAGAAACAACATTCCACTTCTTATGATCACTTGTCAGTCTTCCATATATTATCTACCTTCTGGTTTTCTTTCTAAAAAAAGAGTTTTTATAGCTACAAGGTGAGCTAAGTGAAGAAAGAAACTGTGAGGAAAATAAAATTATGTGCAGGATTATGGGATTATGCATGGCTTGATAGGTATGTATTAATACAAGAATAAACACATGCAGTATATGTGAAGGACTGCAGATATTTGATTATTTTTGCCTTCAGTGTAAGGTCTATGTGATATACTGACATTTGGTACTCCCATAAACCATTTGGAACAGTAAATTAAGACAACATAAGTTAAAGCCTTACGGAATTTTTTTAACATTAGCATTTTAGATATAAATATATGTATTTTATACTACCCACCATACATTACTGAATTATTCTGATGTTATGTGGTTGAGCCAGATTTCTCTCTGGCAGCATTAAAATGGCAGAAAGGAAAAAGCAAAAATACAGCAGAAAGAAGGTAGCTATAGAAGGTGGTCATCTCTCAGCAGAACAAAAGATACTGCTTTGTGGTGGAACTGAACTAACACCAACAAGTTGAGTTGTGTACTACATAAGCTTTCAGATTTCAGGAAAAATCCATGAAACTCATCTCTGTCTCATGCTTTGGGGTGGGCAGACCTAGCCTTTCTATTTGCAATTCTGGCAAAGAAGAGTCAGGAAACAAACCTATTCTGCCAAGATCTTGTATCCATACCAATCTGTGTTCTGTTAGGCTATTCTTTTGAACATTTCCAGAGAACAGAGATGCTCTACAGACACTAAAATACAAATTCACTAAAATTACTGGGATTTCCACAAATATACATAGGAATATAGAAATACAGATGACCCAACCACAACTTGCTCAATTCTTTTTCTAGTTAGTCTCCTTAATTCAATATAATGTATTTCTGTGAAGCAAAATCACTATTATGCTATTACGGTGAATAATATCCTGATAGTGCAGGGATATTTAAATGGACTCATCTGTTCCAAATGGAGGCTTCACCATCTGTTCTGTTCTTTTATTACAAAGAGAGGGGGAACCTAACTCACTGCATCAGCATGTAAAGCCCAGCATTGAAATGATTTAGGTGTACGTGTGTGTTCTTTACGCACCTGGTATGTTTTCTCATACACCAAACACAAATCAGTGGGAAGACCTGTCTCTTGCAACCTAATAAATTCTCTGATCCAATGTCTTTATTCCTTTCTCATGGCAGCAGAAATTGATGGCCAGTAGCTTGCATTTTATTAGGACAATTATGACCCTGTTGGTGTCCTGCAGGAGTTATTATCTTTATTGGGCTAGTATTTCGTGATACCATTTACTTCTCTACAGAAAATGAGCCTCAACTCCTATTCATTCCCTCTTGCTGGGCCTATATATGAGTCATGGACAGAAATCTTGTAGGAGATGTGCTGAGGACATGTCAGATTGCTGAAAAGCTCTGTTCCTCCCCAAAGGATGTCACACAGTCTTTTCTAACAGCTTTTAGAGAAGATGGGAAACTCCAAAATGCATGACATTGTATCATTTTTCCTTTTTAAAAAGATAAATTTAGCTGTAGCTTAGGAAGGGAGGCGCAAATTACCACATCTCAGACTCTCCCTACCGGGAGACTGACTGCACACTCAGTGCAGGCGTTCATTCAAAGCAAACCCGAAGGTCCTACCTGTGTTGTAGCCCCTCCCAAGAGCTGGCCAGGGCCGATGGTTCTTCCAAAGGTTGCCCAAATACCAATCACTCTGGTTCTCCACCAAGCCAAGAACTTGCTGCCCTGGAAAATGAGCAAATGGAAAGAACATCATAAGATAAAAGACAGTCAATCAATGGAAAACACAGGAAATCTGGAGAGGGACAACCAGTGGAAAGAGAAGGCAGAAGTTGGGGCGCTGCCTTCCCTCCATGCCCTCCAAAGTAGCCAGCTTATGTAACAGACAAGCAAGCCTGGCACAGCAAATGCAGCACGGCTCATTTCCTCCCTTCTTCCCTGGCTAGTCTGAGTAATTAAACACTGTGGGAACCTTTGTCATGCTGACAGAAATATGTCACCCAGACAAATCTGAATGCTGCTTGATTTTGGAATACAATGATGGAGAATCCTCCCAGTGAGAATTAAGTGTTGGTAAAAGGATCATCTAATATGAATATCTGTTCATACTCTGATGGAGAAAATATAGTTGAAGAACAAGGCTCAGTGTAACAAATTATTCTCTTCCCAAGCTCCCCCTAGTAGTTTAATGGATTTCTTTTTTTCACAGTCACAAAGGAAACCCCTTTTGCTCTGAAAAATACTGCATTTGAAGAGTTTACCTACATAAGAAAGTTGCACCGTTTTAATTTAAGAGAGTAATTTAAAAGTCATTTAGGTGCGCCTGTGTAGAATGCTGCATAGAAAATATGACTTCAGTTTTATTTCAGTTTATCCTGCATTGATTAGCAGCTGGCTTCAGCTAGAGTAAAATGTATTTTAAATCAAATGTGTCTAGAAGGTTTGCACTGCTTAAAAATCAACCGAAAAATGAATGTTTGTATAGATAAGGACTTAATTATGTATCCTAAAATGTGCTGTATAAAATGTAAATAACAAGTGATTGAAATGATGCTGTGGTAACAGAGGATGGAGGGGAGAGCTGCATTTGGATCTAGTCAGAGAAAGGAAAAGAAACGGTGCTTTGAAAGAGGGACATATTCAGTGAGGGCACTGAGACTGGTACTGGAAATTATTTTGCAAGCTTTTGAGAAAGCAATTAAGCATCATGCTTTGAAGACTCATTTTCAAATCCCAGCTATGCCCATAGAATTGTGTGTATGGTCACAGCAGTGCACTGAAAGGCTGAAATGATCATTTTATGTCGCTTACGTAGAACCACAGCTATGTATTACTAAAATTTCAGTATGGTCCAGGACAAGGTCGGGCTGAGAACAAGACATAAAGATAGATATGATTAATTCAATTTTATAATTGGCTTGAAAGGTGATTGCAGTACTCTCCTGTGGTATCTGTAATTCAGTGGAATGTCAGTAACCCAAATGTCTCGAATGCTGTTTCAAAGAGAGTGAGCAACAGTGTTTGGTCAATGCATACAAAAAATAAACCAGAACACTGGGAAAGCGTTCAAGGAGTGAATGGAAATCAATCTAAAAATAACTTTGAGAGATTACCAAGTCCACTCTACACCGCTCCAGCATCATCCTACTCTATGCTAATGAAAACACGTCACTCCTTACCAGACCTTACTTTCCAGTGATGTCTCTCCTATTCCATTACATATTTATTACACATATATATAATTTTTCACATTAGATCACATAAATAATTTTTTAAGAAGATGGGAAACCTGGCAAAAGGATTCTATCAAACACCCAGTGGTGCTACTGAAAACTGGTAATACTAAAGAGTGCAATGCACAAGCAAATGAAGAAAGTAACAAGACAGAGGCAAACACATCCTAAGCAACTCTGTTCATACACAAAACCACAGCATCTCTCAACCTGTGAGACACACGGAACACACTGGAGAGCACATCAGACATCACAAGCCATATACTGTGAGGAAATATGAAAGAGATCTCAACTGGCTGACAGGAGCCTAAGGCAAAAAGAGGCCAAAGGACACAATTTAGAGCAACGCTTGTTAACTCCAAGCTGAAGTCTGCCTGTTTATAGCCACTCCCTTACAGCTGAAGTAGAATAAATCAGGATAAGAAACATTACTAGTAAAGGGTGAAGAGGAAAAAAACCAAACAGACAATAGAAGGTGCAGGTGCAGCTGGTACAGAATGGGTTGGCAAAGCTGGTAGGAAGAGACTGATCCTGCCCATAATCTAACAGTACATTTCACAACTCAGCCGTCCACAGATCCTTCTCAGGATAGTACCGATACCATCAAATGAAATGTTAGAAATCTATTTGCAAGAAGCAGGTACCAAACTTCTTTACCATGAAGCATCAATCTGCTTTCATTATTTTAGCCTCACAGATTTACCAACATGCTACAGACTTCAGCCTTTAAACCAAAGCATAAGGAAGAATGAACAAATCTTAATGCTTGTTAATGGTTTTCATTTCCCACATACCAGGCCAAAATCTCAGTTCTCATAACTTACCCCTGAAACACTTAGTTATTATTTCTCATGCCAAGATAAACTAAAAAAGGGTCAGGAAATTATGATTTGCATGTATTTACTGTAGTTGTATAATTTTCTTCTGCATTTTCCCTTTATTTTTGAAGACACCGGAACAAATCTCACTTTCACCAGTGTTTCTTGAGGTTTGATACAGGACAGAGATGAAGGCAGAGATGAACATCATGTAAACTTTAGGGCTCAGATATATGGACCAGATAATGTGACTTACTGTGTATCAACTGAGCTGGAATAAGTGCCTGTACGTATGCTTTTAGCTTGTCACAAACACACAGTAAAATGTATGAGCTAACACGCTTTGGTTTGCTTTTGCAATGGCCTGGGAATGTGCACACGTTCACACACTGTCCTAGGGTAGAGCATTATGCAACTTGTCAGGCTGTTGTAACTCTTACTGGTGCATAAAAGCCTATTAGGCAGATGTGATGGCTTGTCTCCCAAACCACCTTGGAGAAAATTATGGAGATATGCTTTCCATCTTCTCTAGTTATATTTCTATTTTCTCTAGGCTGGAATAGTGTTGCTGTCTCTGTCAAAGAAGAATATATTTTTATTTCCCTTTACATTGTCTCTGTGGTCTTGACTTAAGGCAGAAGTAATCCAGAACATAGAATTTCATCTGCACAGTAAATATTAATGTTTCCAAAAAGGTTTTCATTTTGAATCAATATAGAAAAAAGAAAATCAGAAATATTTTCTGGAAGACATTCCCTGAATATTTTGATCTGAAGATATCAAAATAACATCTAAGAATGTACAGCCATCCTCATGTTAAATAATATAAAACAATGTGACACGTAATACAGATGAATATATACCCTATAGACCACATTATTCCATGCATCTCAAAGCTCAAACAAAAAAAAAACCCCACGTTTTGTCCTTCCAGTTGCAACCAACTAAAAATTCACTCAGAGATTTAATGAATTTTTGTTTTTTTAGTGAACCATTGTGAGAATATCTGCCTACTACCAGCTATTTCATTTAGTTATTTACTTTTTCAAGCACATGACAAAGTTACGACAGGAGGCCAAAGGGATGTGCAGTGTCAAGCAGGCACAGTGAGCAGCTCTCTGACCATGCACCAGCCTGTCTCTCTGCCATCCTTTGTGCCTCTCCTGAGAGGTGCTCACAGCTCTGCAGGAACCATCTCCAGGTTCACTTCACCTCTGATCATACCTCGCTCTGAATTCAGGTGTTCTGGGCAGGATAGACTAGAGTTCACTTCCAGCACAGCCTTTTGGAAAAGGCAAAAATAAAAGAGTTATGTGAGTTATTCTTCCAGCAGATGAGAGCACGGTGCCTACTGTTAATGGATTTGAACCTTTCAGCATTCTGAGCTGCCGGTTTCTTCTCCCTAAGAGTTATTATAATAAAATACCACAACTAACAGCAAAAGCTCTATCATTTTCTGTTCTGGTCCTGCAGTTATGATCAAGTACGCTCCTCTCACTGTCTGTTACTCCAGGCACAAGTTAGCTTATGAAAATTAAGCTGTCTTTCTTACTTCTTCATTCATCACCACTAACAGCCAGACAAGAGAAAACAAGGCTATGATTCTAGCATGACCACAGTGAAAAATTACCGGGCAGGCAGAAGAATTACAGCTGGATTGCTGGGAATGGGGCTGTGTGCTGCCTGGCTGTGGGCTGAGACTTCTCCAGAAAGCAGCTGCAGTTACAGCACTTTGCACAGAACAGCTGCCTGACAGCTCTTGCACGATGAGAAGCTTGGCTGTTGCTGGGAAGAGGTTTCCATGGAAAAACAGACACTTCTGAACCTGACAACTCAGTGCCTTCAATTCTGCTTTCACTTCACAGATTTTTGGTGGCTAATGGAGGGGAAAGCATTATCCTGTAACTTAGACACTGAAGGGGACTCCAGACCTTAACTCAGCTCCCAGCTGTGACACTGATTTCTTGGGTGACACTGAACAGCCTCTTGCTCAATTCTCCCTGAAAAATACTTTACCCCTCTTCCATTTTGCCTGTCTCACATATTGCAAATGTAAGTCCTCAGAGTTAGTAAGTGTGTGCTGATTTCTACTGAAAGGGTAAGAGTAGCAGCATGTGGCCAGGCTGAAACTCCATCCAGCATGGAGCTGTCTCCAGCAGCTGGGAGGAGCTGCACAACAGTGCAGCTGTATGGTGGCACTTCATAGGGGTCCTCTGGATACAGTGACTCATGGCACATCTGAAGGGGTATCAGCTTTTTATTATGTTGGGTCTGGTATCTGCTGCTTTTGATTGGTGCTGATCTTGGTGCCTGTGAACAATATTTTCCTATCCTGCCCTAATTTTTTCCCAGTTTCAGAGGATGTCATCTTCTCTACAGTCTATGGTACACAGGACCTTAACCTCAGCTCTTGCCTTGACTTATTTTGCTATTACAAACAATAAAAATAGTAGTAAAAAGTTATAGTTATTACAGGTACTTTCAACATCTTCTTTAGTGGAAGCTTTTTTTTTCTTTTAAACCTATAGTGGCTTTTACATGACTCCATTGCAATTAAAGTAAGAGCACTGGACCCACTGCAAACACTTTGTGTGAATTGCGCTTTCTCAGGCCACCAGACTGTTTCCAGAAAGGGGAAAATAAAAAGGCATTATAAAGGGGAAAGAACGGCTGG